TTATAATAAAAATAGTTCGAAGAACGCTTTTTTGCCTTGACAAGAGAAAAATACGTTTGACGAAAAAAACTTTGAAATGAAGAAAAAAGTTATACTACGAAACGCGTCTATAGAAAATGAAATCGTAACTAAACGTGTCAAATGAAAAGTCATTTCGGCAGGATTTTTGTACAGCTTGTTTCTATAACAGAATAAAAAAAAATAAAGTTGATTCTGAGTTGCTGAAAAGTGCTTTTTCATATTCAGCACACTCGATAATCCAAAAGATTTTCTATTTTTCGCGAGGGATACTTCCAAAAGTTTAGGAAAACTTTTGAAACAAAATGGCGCAAAAAAATTTTCATGGGAAAATAATATTAGTTTGAAAAATTTTTGGAAGTACCCATCATCAAAACTAGAAAATCCTCTGGATTATCGAGTGTTCTGAATACGAAAAAACACTTTTCAGCAACTCAAAAGCAACTTTATTTTTTTTCTTCCGGTGATATGCTACTCGCTTTTCTACTACCAAACATAACTTTTCCGAAACATAAAATTCGCCGTAGATTTTCATGCCTTGAACTAAAAATTCTCAATTTTTTTAGTCAGAACTGAACTTTTAACCAATAAAAATATCATATTCGAAATCAAGATAGAAAACTGAGTCGACTAATGTATATTTCTTTTTTCTCTTACCAGCATCCTGCAAAGCTCTGGAAGTTTATAATCTACAAAATATAGACTTCAATTGATCTTTGAGAGTTGCCGTCCTCTACCGTTAATAGTTAATTTGAAAGGATTTCCCTCTTCACTAATTTTAAGATAATTAGGGTGGATTGTAGATATAAAAACATGCCTAGATGCATTCAGAACAAAGCTTTTCATTTTTGAAACACGTTTAGACGTACATCTCTTGATCTAGAGAGGCTGTTTTTCGTGAAAAATCGCTTCCTAGAATGTTTGCACTTGAAATTTCTTGTTTCCATTAATCTAAAAGCTTTAATATGCGCGTATGTACATACTTGCTTTCTAGAAAAAATATATTCGTTCGACATCAAGAAACGAACGCATCAAGTTGACATTTTTTTTTTAAGTCTAAAAGCATCAATTTATATCTAAGCGGGTCTAGACGTGTTTTTTTTTTTTGTTTATATCGATCTGAAAATGAACGCGTCTGAACATTCGTCTCTATGACAAAACTTTCCATTGGGATGTGTCTGTCTATATTTACTTTTTTTGTCCTTTTCCCGGTAAACGATTGCACGATATTTTTCCACTAAAATATTTCAATAAAATGATATATTGTTTTCATATGTGTTTATATATAACCTATACCTACGATTTGAAAAAGAACGACGTACCAACTTCGCTGATTATTAGAATATTGTTCAAATTCTGAAATAAGTTCTTCTTCACCAGGTAAATTTGGATCAATAATTAATGAAAATGTATTCCAATCATAACGATCCATAAGTGCTAATAATGCTCGTGCTTCTTCACGATACATTGGTGCCAATTGAAAAAATTTTAAATTTGGATAATTCTATTTAAAAATACAACATATATATTTTTTATAATTATTTATTATATTTTGATTTTTTAATGAAACTTATTTACCATAGGATGAAATGGATGAAAATAATTAAATGCTAACATTGGATATTTCATTGATGTAAACATTTTTAATATGAAAAGAAATGATGCTGGAGAACCTTGATGTTCATTTTTATAATCATTAAAATAATAGACCAACATTGGACGCCAATAAAATATTGAACATAGACTACCAATAACAGCACTAATCGATTTAACATGAACTGAGACTGATGTTCTTAAATATGATAAAAATAATATATAATTCTATTTTAAAAATTATAATTATTAAAAATGACTTACATTTCAAATGTACCACAACTATTAGTAATATTTGATTCAATTGAATTTGAAAATGATTTCATATTGGAAAATTCATTTTCTGATCGAGTTGATGAAATAGTGGCCATCGGTATCATAGAACAAGTCATATTTTGATTAGTTAGTGTACGAAATCTTTGAGCGTACACCATTTTCAATAGTAAAGATATGAATATTGATGTTAATATTAAATTTAACCATACCATGATATCTATAACTAACAGAACTAACAATTTATTTCACAGTTTTTGGAAATAAAACAAAAAATATTGATTTGTTCAAGCGACAAAATAAATGATAATAAAAAAAATACTCAATTTTATGAATTTTCTGCTGAGTTACTTTGCTTGATTTGTGTTAATTTACTTGTGAGAAAAATTTCGTACTTCATTATGTCATTAATAATAATCAAAAATTTTGAAAACTGACCAAAGGCAACTCTTTCTTTGTTTTTTATAATAAAAATAGATAAGTATGACAAAAAAAAAGAGGAAGAAGCCAACCAGTAAATACATACCACACGATTGGAACAAATGACTGTAGCCTTCGGGTCTTACGAAATAAGAAAAGAAGAAACGTTATTAAACATTTTATTAGAAAATTTTTGTTATCAAATTATCCTTAGCATGTTCGGATAAAAAAAAAAAAAAAAAAAAGAAGTTTTTCTCCTAATAAAAAGAAAAGACAATGATTGATTTGATTTAACTCATCAAACAATAAAAAAGAGAAAGAAGTGCACTTTGATATTAACAGATCGTGTTGGATGTAATTCTAATAAAAATTAGAAAAAACTATAATTTAACAAATTAAACCATGTATTTACCGAATCAGATCTGGCAATTGTTGTTCAAATAGATATGGATTTATCTCTATTTTATACTGATTATTTGATCTTATAAAAATAATGATTTGATTATCCGAGTCTATTTTCTTCTTCTTTTTTTCTTGTCCTCTTCTTTTATTTTTTTTCTCTTTTATGCTTATTTCAATTACTTAATGATGATTCAGTATTTTATGCATATAGAGATAGAAGATAGTCTATAAATTGAAATTATACGATTGTCTGAATTTATTTATGTTGAATCTAGGATAGGATTTAAGAGTACATGAAATGATTAATGTTTCGTTATTGGAAACAAAAAAAAAAATAAAAAATAAAAATAGGATATAGAAACATGGTAGATAGAGATCTCTTTTTATTTCTATCATATAAAACAGCTTACGAATTTACACATGTAAATTATTGTTCTATACAAAGTGAATATTTACATTTGTTAATAATTGTCTATGCATGGATTTATTTATTTATTTATTTTATATAATATAAGAAAAGAAAAAACAATTTTCTACGATTAACAGAAGAGTTCTATATTAATAGCTAATAGCAAATTATTTCCTAATATTACTAGTACATCATTCCATTTTCTAATCGATATTCGAAGCCATGTGTAATTTACATTATTTATAACTCAATAAACCCTTCGGCAAAAATCCTTTTTTCAGAAATTTATAATCATAATGTGTAAAATATTATCTTATCTTAATTTATATCATTTGAAAAGTTGAAAATAAATTGTTTCACTGATGATTAAATGTTTGTATTTCTAACTTTTATATAGAAAAAAGAATAAAAAGAAATCTTTCATAATATATCCTCACTTTTTTTTAGTTTCATTTGGAATTTATCATTAAACATTTCTGAGAATCATCTATTTTATCTACATACCCGTTTCAATAGTTTTTATTCTGGCTCTTTCTAAAGACTGTTTCTGACGTAGTGTTTACATGCAAAACAAAATATTATAAGTATCTTTTCAAGTTTGCACGTCGATCATTAAAGAAATTTCCACTTTAATATTCAATAAAGTAGAGAGAAAAAAGAAAAGGATGCTCTTATCATATTCTTATATCGCACAACTTTTTTTTAATTAACCCAATAATAATAATAATATATAACGAAGGCGTTGGAGATCCTGAACAAATAAAAAACAAATTGTAACTATTCAGAAGATACAAAGAAGAACTATGATTTGAAAGTCATCATGATCTGTCTGGCAATATTAACAGTAAATACTTAAAATCACATGTATTTGAAAATAGTTATCTCATCAAAATTTGAACACTCTTTCCATATAAAATAATATCTATTTGATTGTAGGTTTTAAAAATATTTTATTAGACTTACTTGTCGATTATTAGCGTAGTGATATGTGTAATGTTACACTATTCTACAACTACATGTTCATTTATTCAACTCATACTTTACATTTTTGATCCAAGAACTCATTTTAATTGTGATTACTTATTCTATTTTCGTAACAAATTTACCTATATTTGTTCAAATAATGTAAGTCTAATAAAGGATTTGTGTAGTAGCTATTCACACCTCTGGAGTGGTTGCTATTGAGACTGTCAACAACCGAAATATAACTGACACCTCGAAAGCGTTTTGCACACTGCAACAATATGTGATGTTTAAAATAAAGAGTTTTACTTGACTAAATAAACCTCTCTCCAAGTTATGTAAAAACTTGAATGGTAAAGTTGAAAGCTCCATGAAGATTAGAATGATATTATTCTAGGAAAAAAAATCCTTCTCATAAGAAAAACTGCCGGTTTTGTTCTGTAAGGTTTTTGAGAATTTCGGATACATTGTATTCAATTTAGTGCAAAATGAGATTGTCTAATTTAATTCGCATCAATTAATGATAAGCATTATGTTATTATTCAAAATATCTTGAAAGCTTTTCCATTAAAAACATTGATCATCTACAGTTAGAAAACTCTAAAAACTACAGTAAATTTATGTGACCAATATATGGATATAACCATGTATCGTGCATACAGCATTTGTTGCAAGAGAGAGAAAGAGAGAAAAAAAGTCAATTAAGTAAGAAAACGCAATATTTTTTGTGAGAATCATAATCGCCTACAATTTTATCAAATTATCTTCTGCACTTCCGAATCCATCATCGATTATTTTTATCGAATGAAATATTACGAAAGGTTTTGATCATTTGCATACTTCCGTAATGTGTTTAACAAACATCAGACATAGAGTTAATCGATTGTTGTCACACGTTTTTATTCAAACAGAATAATCACCGTTATGAAGAGAGAACGTGAAACAGGAACACAAAATTGAGTTAAGTTACATCACAAATAATAACTTAAAGTAATAAACTAAAAAAGAATAGATAGTACAGGTATTCGAGAATATTTTTGTTTTTCTCATGCTTTTTATTACACATTACTTGTCGAAAAAATTACATTGAATTTTAGCATAATAATAAACAAAATAATCGTTTTGGAAGAATTTGGGAGAAATCATAATTCGTTGTATTGTAATCTAATAGTGTGAATATACTACTAAAGTTTGACGACAGCTCAAAATAGTTCTGGGAGAAGAAACACTTTAAAACCTGCTTACAAAACTTGCCTTTTGTTTCACACTCTTTCTTAGATCAAACTGCGAAAATTTTCATACTCAGAATAACTTTGAAATTTTCCCTTTCTTGGACATAGCTGCTCAAGGATGAGCTTGTGACCATATACAATTGTATCTCTAATGGTTATGGCTGTCATATAAGAAAGAAAATGTAGACAAAGGACAAGTGGCAGAATGTAGGGTTTCGTGCCTAAAAAATTACGTAATGAGTCATACATATTCGGAATCAGCGTCGAATTCTGAGAAAGACTGGATTTTCAGATCGTTCAAATTCGCGAAAAAATTTTTTGCGAAACATTTTAGGGCAAAGGTCCCTCTCAGGAACGTCGAAAAATATTTTTTCTCTGAACCGGCAAAATGACACTTTTTCTGACTCAGAATTGAATACTGATCACGAAAACTGCATTCACAATTCATCAAAATGCTTCTCTGTGAAACGGCCGCCGAAACAAAAAATGGGTCAAAAAGATTTTGATTTATTTTTAGAATTCCCACTTGATGGTCATGACAGAATAGAACGAGATGTTCTTTTATATGAACCTCATTTTTAGATCTTCAAGTACAAAATATTCAAGGAGAATGGATCAATGCTCCACTTATTCACAATACATTTGTTGTTAATATTGGTGATTTAATGCAAACGACGGACAAATGATCAATTTAAAGGAACTGTCCATCGTGTAATTAATACAAGTGGAACTAGAAGTTATTCAATTCCACTCTTTTTTGGCTCAGATTACTTGACTCTGATTAAATGATTCATTCTTGATGAAAGATTTAAATATGAATCTGTTACTGTCGGAGAATGTTTAACACAAAAATTTGATCAAATTTATTGTTATCAGGAAAAAGATTCTTTGTGTATCGGATATATCAATGGTACTTTTTCTTTTTCTATTTGTTAACATTTTCAAGAAAAGATTTATTTAAGATGAAGAAAAGGATTCATCATTCAATCTCTTAATCAGTTCACGACAGTAAAATAATTTCACATGTTTGTCCATTAGACATAATCAGTTCTATATTTTATTTGACTGTGTTTGAATTATTCTCCAGAGAGATGTGACTAAATAGAAATAGATATCCGTAGAGTTCTCAATCGTTGATGATAAGGATTGTAAGATCTTAGACTTCATACTTTGAAGAAAAAATTGCGAAAAATATAATCGGGAAATAATTCTTGTTTATTCGAAAAGATCAAGTTTGCAAGAAAAAACAATTGAATAAGTCAATGGTTGTTCATCATTACTTCAAGACATTTGAGATTGTTTTCATTATTTTGAATATTTGGATGCGAAGGTGGTAGTGATTTCTTGTATATTCGTAAACATTTGTTGTAAAATTCGAATGCATTTAGATAATCTTTCATCTGTTCATACGTCACGGCCATATAATTATAAGTCTCACCAAAACTTGGATGATCTTCGGGCAAATATTTTTCTTGGATATCGAAAGCTTTGTTTAAAAACTTCAAAGCTAATTCGTATTGATCTTTTGCCATGAATGTAGTACCCATGATATGATAGGGTTTAACAAGAAATGAATGATCTTTAGGAATAAGTGAAAGTGATGTCTTACAATAATCTAAAGCCATATCAAATTCTTCTTTCCAAAAATAAAGTTCAGCGATTGAAGCATGAATGTATCCAATATATTTTTCCATTCCAGGATGGTTGTTCTCTTGTGGTACAGGTAATTTCATGTAATTCTTGTAAGCTTCATCCCACTTTCTTTCATAGCGATTAATATCGATGAGATGATGATAACAAATAATTCTTTCTAAGTCATCTGTTGATTCGTTTATAATTTGTTGAAATAGATTCTTTGCTTGCTCGTATCGACCTATGTGTGACAACGATTGTCCTAGACTGATAAAATCAGGATTTTGACCTAATCTGTTCTTTTCATACTCCAAGAGAGGTTTTAAAACGAAGTCATCTTCCGTGCACAGTGTTAAATTTGCTATCCAGGTCTTTTCGTTGCTATTATACGTCACTTCTTTAATACGAAATATTGTGCCGAGTGCAATCAGTACTTCATTTTCTTCTGGAAACTGACTATGATCAACGATATATGCAAATGGTCTGGCGTTTAACAGTCCACAATCGATATCGAATTTAAAAAGAATACATTTCATCAAACCGTTTTCAGTTTTATTCGCCTCTGAATAAAACTGTCCAGTTTGTTCGATTGTTGATGTAGATAAGAAACTGTTCATGGAGATGAATTCTCCTATATTTTCACGAATCAATGTCAATTCTTCTTCGCTGATACCTTGCCCTCGATAGACATGCAAGATGGGTTCGGATGGTATATCGTGAAATTTCTTATATTCGTCGGAGAGTTGACTGTATAAATCGACGATAAAGAAGCGAACAGCGATAAGAACATCGAAATCATGATCACGTAAAGCTTTGTTAAGAATTTCGGACAGAAATGGAGCTTTACTATACCATAGGATCGCGTGTTCAAGATTATACTCTCGTTCAAATTCATTAATGAGAGCGAGTTGTTTTTCGTTGTCGGAGTACTTTTGACGCAGAAAGTCGAGTAAGTCTTTCTTACTTTTTGAAGGTGTAGGTTTCATTCGAAGAATAATATCAATAAAGATCTGCAAATGCATAAACATTGCATTACGTTGTTCAAGTCCTTCTTTAAGACTATAAACAGTTATTCCCACTGTAGCATTATTTATTCGTTCATAGACATCTTCATCTTCTTTTATTCGTTTGATCATTTCTTCGAGATTAGTAAAAACATCTTTTACCTGAACAAATAAAAATTATCTCTTATTATAAAAATAGAATTTTCCAATTCTTACTTTGTTATAACGAGCAGAAAACTCTATAGTGCTTCTTTCATTGGTACATAGAACATAAATTGCACTTAAATGTTTGACATCATGAATAAGAGGAATGATCTTTTTACTTAATGTTTTAGAGGTAATCAATAATAGTTTTTGAGTAGTGGATGAAGATTTTTGAATATATTCCTCGCAATCTTTGACATTATCAAACACTTTCAGTTTCTGAAATTCTAATCGAAGTTTAAGGAGATTATTATTAAAATCTTCATCCAAGCAAAGGAATTGATATGTATTCAAATTTTCCATATGTCGAGAATACAATGATTCTGAAGAAGATGTACCTTCGGTACTTGCAGTCATCATTCTACAATAAAAAAAAAGAAGTGAAACTATTGAGAGATCGATTTCGACAAATATTTCTGAATAATGATCGCACCTATTCTGAAAAAATAAATCCAAACTTACTATGTCTTTTATCGATGATAACAGGATAAATAAATACAACTATACGTGACTATAAGAAAAAACTGGGGGCACTTCAGGGATTCCTTCTCATATATCGTAATGTCATCTGTACGATATAAAAGGAAAGAAAGAAGTGAAGCATATTATAACAATTTATTTCTTTTGTCTTTCTGTTGTGCATATAGAAACTGAGTATAACAGGGAAATCTCCGA